TGTGTTGGACCCCCCCCCCCCAGTCAGTATGGATGTGCCCTACAATGTGGAGGGCAGTTTCCTACATCGGGTAGAGCAGCGGGTGCATTAAATACATTACTAGTGACATTGGTGTCTCCTAGTGACAATATCAACATTTCCCCTGTAATATGTTCTTGTCGTATATCAATGATTGAAACCTTAAAATACAAAAATTGTAAAATACTGTGGAATATTTTATTTTCGCTGGAATTAATTTTCGCTGAAAAGGCTTTTTGGGCGTTTTGTATGGAATTTATTTTCACTAATTTTTGATGAGCTTAATGTGAAATATAGGAAAAGTATATTCGGTGGATTTTATTTTCACAGAATCATTCCTTTAGCGAAAATAAATTCCCAGTGAAAATAAAGTATTCTACAGTACTTTATTTTAGCTTGATTTAATTTTCACTAAAATGACTTTTTGGGTGTTTTGTATGGCATTTATTTACACTTATTTTTAACCAGGTGAATGTAAAATATTGGAATAAGTACTTTATTCGCCAAATTTTATTTTCACTGAATAATTTATTAATTTATCTCTACCTAGAATAGCAAAAATAAATTCGAAGTCAAAATAAAGTATTTTATAGTAGACACTGCTGAATTTAATTTGTAATTCTTTGTGCATGTAATTACGAATTTTTGCCAAGAGACATCACGACTGTATGGCAGAAATTAAAACAATTTAACAAAGTATATTCTCACAATGCGATTATCACTTTGGATGAATTAGGATTCTGGTATGAATGGAGTCAAAATTTGCTAAAATGGCATGTAACTATTACAAAGTGTTTTACAGTATTTACAACTGTCAAAAATGTACTTGAGTGTATAGAAGCAAAATTGAGAACCCAGAGATGAGGAATTTTGAAATTTAATTCTGCACCACCCACTTTACAATTTAGTAACTGTCCTCGATTGTATACTAACAGGGGTTAAATTTCTAGCCTGTTCATGATATTCAGTGTCTGACCCCTGATATGGAGATTTGATTTTATCAAATTCTACTCTTCCAGAGTTGTATACATCTTATTTGCGCTATTAGAAGTGCATTTATTTTATGCAAGATTATTTGAATATAACATTTGGTCATACACCCTTCAGGAACTTTTTGGATGTCAACTTTTTGTCACTTTTTGCAAAATAATTGACAGTATTTTTATATTTTATAAAAAAATATTAATCAAGACCTGTAACTAGTGAAATTTTGTCCAAAATTAACAAAGAAATCATAGAAATGTACATCAAAATGTTCCATCAAATTTGAGGGGGAAAAGTTTAGTTCACAAAGGGCAGTATAGCAGTGATGTTGGTATACGTTTAGATGACTACATGCCACAAAGAAAAAAAATAGTTATATTGAATCCTTGCATCTGTAATATTATACCACGTACATATAGAATTTGTCCAATTATAATTATCAGGTACAAGAACAAATTTTCCCTAGATACCATTTAATTTTGAACAAAATACACGTGCATAATGGTGTTTGATAATTTTGATCAATGCCAGTAGCTTATTAAAAATTGACATCTTAAAAGAAAAAACTATGAAACAAAAAAAAATGCTGCTCAAAGTTTTTATCTGGAAGAATGATGGCATTCGAAAGTTAATGCTAAATTTATGAATTAGAAATAGCAAATATTGCTTTGCTAATTCTGTTGTAACCAGAATATTATACACATGTTGAATATAATAAAGTAAATTACCCAGCTTTGCATGGCTTTTTATGTGTGTTGCCATCTGATAGTAGGTATGGTATTATGGCTACACAACATGCACAGGTCATTGTATCTACCAGGTCTTTTGCTGCACGTAGTACAGAAATAAATTGATAAAAGGTTTGTACAAGATGACTATTTTAAGAGTACAACCTGCAATATTATATCCCATTGGTATTCCATGTGGCTGTCGATATGAAGATGAATACCAGTGTTTTGTTAACACTACAAAGAATGGAATAGATCATCGCTAGAATTAGTGCAGTCTGCACTAGTAATTGAAAACATGCTACAAATGAATTTAGTGCACTGTCAATTATTGCATGATAACTGGGTTAGAACAAGGATGTGTGCAATAATGGGTATTGCAGAGTCCCAAATGTTGAAAATATATACTGGTAGATTAAGAGAAAGGAAAACAGTGTGATTATAGCGTGTCCTAGACGTTTGCATTTCAGTTTTGCATAGAAGTTCCTGTGTGAGTGACTGAATGTGAAAACCATGAAAGGTTTGTATGTTTGTGGATTGACCTCCAGCACTGCCTAGTAATCGTCTATTGGTTATTATGGGGCTGCACATGGTACTGATCAACCAATAAGAATGCATGATTCCAATAATGGGCAATGCATTGTATTATACTCTTTGATAACATTGTCTTTTCGCCTACTCGCATGGTCTGCCCATCTATTGTTGGGAGATGGGGGTGAATTGTGCAGAATTCTGTAACATTTTCGCTGGTAGGAAATTTGTTGCAAATAGATTCTAGGCATTTTGTGTCAAATTCAAATTTTGTTCTACTTAGCATTATGGGAGAAACCTTGCAAATCTGTGTAATAAAAACTATTAACACCATAAGTTACAGCCGTAATTTTGTGGAATTGCACTGGGTATTTTCATCCTACCATAATAGGAAATGTGAATTCCAAATATGGAATGATTACGCGCATGAACTTCCTGTAATAACAAAATAAACATGCCCCCAGGGTTTGACCGGATCCCACACAAAGAAGTTCGCTAAATCTGTTCTAAAAGTTTTGGATTTTGGCATTCTCATTATGTTTTCCTGGGAGGAAAAGATGTATAATAATAAGGTTATCACGAGGATACCCCACAACTTATTTTTGTTAGTGGTTGAAGCACCAAGCATGATAATATGA